TCATCTCTACAATAAATAAAAAAATGAGCCAGGCGTGGTAGCGCGCGCCTGTAGTTCCAGCTACTTGGAAAGCTGAGGCGGGAGGATCACCGGAGCCCAGCAGGTCGAGGCTGCGGTGACTGTGAGCATGGCACGGCACTCCAGCCTGGGCAACGGAATGAGACTCCAACTCAAAAAAAAGAATTTCACATCAATTGTTTTTTTGATTCGGAGTCTCACTCCGTCGCCTAGGCTGGAGTGCTGTGGCACGCTCACCACCACCCCAGCGTCGACCGGCTGGGCTCAGGGGATACTTCCACCTCAGTCTTTCAAGTAGCTGAAACTACAGGCGCATGCCACCATGCCCGACTTTAAAATTCTATTGTAAACCGGGCTCGGTGGCTCAGCCTGTAATCCTGCGCCTTTGGGAGGCTGAGGTGAGTGGATTGCCTGAGCCCACGGGTTCGAGACCCGCCTGGGCAGGGGAGACCTCATCTCTACAATAAATCAGCCGGGCGTGGTAGCGCGCGCCTGTAATTCCAGCTACTCGGAAGGCTGAGGTGAAAGGATCACCAGAGCCCAGCAGGTTGAGGCTGCGGTGGCCCAGAGCGGCCACTGCACTCAGTCTGGGCGACAGAGTGAGACTCCGACTCAAAAAAAAAAAAAAAAAATTCTACTGTAGAGATAAGGTCTCACTAGGTTGCCCATGCTGGTACTCAACTCGTAAGCTCCTAAGGCAATCCTGTCACCTCAGTCTCCCAAAATGCCAGCATTACAAGAATGAGTCACAGCATCTGGCATTAATTCTTATTTTTGAAGCTGACAATTAAGTTCAATAGTTAAAAAATCAAGAAACTTATTTTTATCAGTACAGCTCTAGAAAATTACCCTACAGATAAAATTTATAAAGCAGAATGCTATACTGCATTTGTTTTCTGACACACACATCATATAAAAATGCATCCCAAGTACAAGAAAGAGAAAGAAAAAAATAAAAAAGTAAACATTAAATAAAATTATAATGTAGAATTTGATGAGGCCCCTATGAAAATTTGAGTAAAAGGCACGAATAAGTTATGTTTTTACCTAATGATAAATTTCATGAGTGTCGGCTTTTTTTTTTTTTTAAGCTAGGGTCACTCAGGCTAAAGAGAGTGCAGTGTTCATCATCATGGCTCACTGAAGCCTTGACCTCCTGAGCTCAGGCGATCCTTCCACCTCAGCCTCCCAAGTAGCTAGAGGCACACACCATGCCCTGCTAATTTTATTTTTTGTAGAAACGCGGTCTCCTTATATTGTCCAGGGTAGTCTTGAACTCCTGGGCTCAAGCAATCCTCTTGTCTCAGCCTCTCAAAGTGCTGAGATACAGGCATGAGCTACCATACCTGGCAAGAGTAGAGATTTTTGTGTTTATTCTAGATACCTACTCTCTAGAACACTGCCTGTGCTCTGTAAATATTTGTTAAAGAGATACTGTGCTCTTTCAGAATGATGTCTGAACATCTGCAATTTGCTATGAAATTATCTCATTTTTGCCTGAGTTACCCTGGGGGAAAAGGATATGTCTTTTACCTAATTAAGAAATAGTGTAAGCCGGGCTCCGTGGCTCAGCCTGTAATCCCGCACCTTTGGGAGGCTGAGGTGAGTGGATCGCCTGAGCCCACGGGTTCAAGACCCGCCTGGGCA